GACACTGCAGCCATGGAGCACGGGCCCCAGCACTACAAGGTGAGATAAACAAGTATCAGTAAAGAATATGTGGTTGTTTTTCATATCTGCTTCTTTGCATAACTACAACCCACTTATAAGTGGAGATGAACCAATCTAATTTTCTGTACCGCATTTATCTTATCAGCATACAGTATCTGACATGCATATATTAACTGCCTTTGAAAAAAATGTCTGGGAGAATAAAGGCTTTCAGATAAGTACATGGGAAACAAGCACAAAATGATAAAAAAAATATTAATAAGCACAGTTCCTTACTACATCAGGGCTTTTAAAAAATGTTCCTCCTTTTTTTTTTATTTCTGATTTTAAGATAGTGAATAAAGGAAAAGAATAAACTATTCACATCCATTACACCAAAAAAAAAAATAATCAGGTAATAGAAATTACGGAAAAAGCTTCTATTTTCTCACAGATGTTCAACAAATCTAAAACCTGAGAGCAGATTTAGGGCTTGAATTTCTACTATATTTTCTCAAGGAGAGCATGGGTTAACATCATGAAGTCAGTGAATGCCAAAGTGGTGCAAATGAAAAGTGAGTTTGCTCTATGCACAGGGGCTCAAAGCAATTTGTATTAGCCACCCCTTTATTATCTGATCTAAAAATTAGGTCAAATCCTGCAGCTATTGTTTAGTCTTTATCAGATGTATGTTCCAGTGGGTTTAACTCTACTTTTGATTACACAGGCTCAGATCTCATTCATTGTTTTAACAGGAATTTTGCCCTGTTAGGTTTTATCAGCTCTGTTACAGAAAATTTACATTAAAATTTAAATTCGGTTGTATTTTTCACAGCCAAAGGCAAAACTGCCCAAAATCTTTCCTTTTCCCCTCCCTCTACAACAGGAAAATTTTTTGAATTGAGCAGGAAAACTATATCAAAACATATTAGTTACTTCTAAGACTCCTCATAAGATTGATTTGCCTAGTATAAATCAGAAATGTGCGAATAAATAGGAAATGTGTTTTAGCACTTTCTTAGGCAAATATCTCAGAAAATTTAATGTATCTTTCCAGCTTCACCAAGATACATACATTAGGTGACACTGCTTTGTTGGTTTCTGATATATCTAAAATGGCAAAGTGAAAATTAATCCCAACAATTCTGCTGGTTTAAGAGGATGAAATGCTCAGCTATGCTCTCATGGGGAGAACAGTGCCCCAGGACAATGAATTCCATGAAACAGGAAAGACTTGCCTTTGCAGAAAGAGCCTGCACAGAAGGGAGTCATTTCCCAGCATACACATGATCCAGGAGTCTGACAGTGATTCGCTGTAAATGCCCTGAACACTTAAGGAAGCTGGAATGTTGTCTTTAAACTCAGGCTCTTTTCCTGTCTGTATTGCCAGCATGGCCAACCTTTGAAAACCAGCAGCATCTTTAGTCCATATTTATAGATAATTCCTTTCCTGAATAACTGAAGCTCTTGGTCAAAGCAATGTTGCAATTGATTTCCACAGAGAACTTTCATTGACCAGGTTGTTATGTACTTTCTGACACATGCCTGACCCTGTATTAAACAAACACAAGCTGTTTTTCCAGGATGCACATTTTTCACACTTTCAAATTACTTTTCAGTTAATTCTATTACACGCTCAGTGAACAGTGATGCTGGGTGCTATTTTTCTGTTTGTTTGTTTTAATATGGAGTGCAGCTCCAGTCCTTGAGAGGACACAGTAATTCCAGAATCAGACATAAGGGCATAAGGGAGAAAAAACAGAAAGTGGATAAGGAGAAAAGGAGAAGTAAATGAACAGGGAAAGGGAGAAAGAGGAAGAGAGAGAGGAGAGGGAGATGGAGGGAGGAGGAGAGAGAGAAAGAGGAGAGAAGCTTTTCCTGATGTGCTAGATATGGCTAGTTATGCTACAATTATACCTGTCAGGATAAAATCACCAGGTTCGGGTATTAAGATAAATAATTTCACTTAAGCAGTTTACATGCTCCATTGGCCTCTCACCTTACCCAAAGGTGTCAGTGCTCAATCTTGTGCCAATTATAAGGGAAGACTGCACTGGTGACAAATAAGCAGCTATAGCTACAGACTGATGTGGAGATGGACTCTTCTGTCCCTCTTGAGATTTGGACAACCTTGATTTCCTGGATTAATAAATACTGCATAGAACCTACATTGTATCCCAGCCTCAAGGCACACTGTGTAACCATCAGAATACTTAACCAGCTGTGTTGGAAGTTTGTTATGACACAGCTATTACATTGCCAGTGCAGATTCAGTGATTCAGTCCTAAGAAGTCAAAGTTGTGAATACAGATGAGTTTAAAAGAGTGTTCTTGCAGACCAAATGACATCAGGAAGTAAGGCATAGTCCCCACATCATCTTCCTGAGTTCCTAAAAAGTAGGTGGGAGTTACCTGACAAATATATAGAAATATGTGCATGGAAAATTTTCCAAAGAATGTGCTTTTGTTGCTGGTTTAAAATCCTCAGACTGAAGGACCTATACTTCAACCCTTAATCCCTAAGCCTCTAAGTGACTTGCCTATGTCACAGCTGTCCAAGAACTCCAAATTCAGGGACAAGAGGTTAAAAAAACTTCAGTAAGATACAAAGACACATTTGAATTACAGGCGTCTAAAATTATCTGGTGTTTATTTAATTAGACTTTTCTGGGGAAAAAAAAAGGCACTGAGACTGGAAAAATCACTGGACTGATTGTTCCCCTCTTTCCAAAATACATTAAGAAAAATAAGCAAACTCTGTATTATGAGCACCTTCAATATAAATGTGGACACCTAGGAAGAAATGTCAGTTGATATAAAATGCATTGACACATAGTGATTATGTGTTATATAGGAATTAGGTACACAGGTATGCCAGGACATGAAAGTTACTTAAATATCAAGTAAAATACACTTAAGTATATATAAAATACTTCCAAACTGTGTTAATTTAATGGTCATCTGTCAAGGGCTACCTGGCAGGACATGAGAATCTACTGAATGAGTTAACTGCAGAGTCATAATCTAAAAAACCTGTTCAAACATTGCTAAGCCTCTCTGAAGTATTGACTGCTTGTAAGAAAAAAATAATTGAAACCACTCTCTTTTGTTTCATTACAAAAAAGGAAAATCCTGAAAGTTTTGAAAAGCTTCCTGCCATGGGAAAGCAATATGCACACATGTACTGGCATTTCTGCTTTTTCAGGAAGACTGTCTTGTACAATAATTTTAATTCCCCTTAGCCCTGGGGAAATTCTCTGAGGGCAGGCCTATCCTTAAAAGTACGATTTCCCATTTTACTTGGACTAAAAGCATTCAAAATGGGCATTTAAATAGCACTTCTGAGATTTCTATCTGGATGTTTATACAGAAAGTACCTCCTCTTTGAGGATTTAACCAAGTACTAGTTTCTCAAGAACAGAAGGAGAATCAAGCCCTTAATGGAGTGTTATAATGACAGAGAGTCCTTCCTCTAATGTCTCAGTGAAAAGGTTTATTTGGCTGGAAGAATTCTCTTATCCTATTATAAATTGTTAGGCACAGTGCAGGGAATATAAATATGCTGCAAATCCAGCTTCCAATGACCTTTTCTCACAAAAATATGTTTTTGCCGAGTGAAAGCAGTGGAAGAAAGGCAATTCTAGATGATATATTTTGTTCCTATTATACAGAACAGTATTTCATCATATGAAAGAGAAATGGGAGTCCCCAGTGTTACTACTCTATTACAAAGAAAAGCACCTCTTTGAAAATTAATGAACATTAAATATTTGTACAGTCAAATGAAGATCTGTTTTCAGGGAACTGGTTGCCCTGTGTTCTTGGGGTCTAAGCTGGGAACTGTTCCAAATAAATACTGAGGCGAGTAGCCATGAATAACAATGATGAAGTACTAGCGTTCAGATGACCACTTTCAAACTCATATTACCAGTCTGATCTCATGATATGCTAAACACACCCTTTTTTTCTTTGCTAAGGAACAGCAACTCTATTATCTGACTGCAGTGATACATATTTTCACCTTTACAGAAAAGAGCCTGGGTGTTCTGGTGGGTAGCAGGCTGACATTAAGTGAGAAATGTATCAAATCTTAGGAAATACGGCTAATGATGTCCTGGGCTGTGTTAGAGAAAAAGGATTGACAACAGGTGAGGGAGCTGATCCTATCCCTTAATTCAGCCCTTGTGAGGTCACATCTGGAGTGTTAGTACCATTTCTGGGCTCCCCAGTACTAGAGACACATGAGCATACTGGAGGTAGTCCAGCAAAGGGTCACAAAGATGACAGCAGCATCTCTCCTACAAGGAAAAGCCAAGAGAGTCTGCTCATCCCAAAGAGGAGAAGGCTCAGAAGGATCCCATCCACCAGATGGGAGAGTGCAACAAAGACATAGCCAGGCTCTTTTCAGTGGAGCCCAGTGATGGGACCAGAGGCAATGGAAAGAAAATGAAACATAGAAGGTTCACCCTGAACATCAGACAACACTTTCTCATTGTAAGGTGACAGAGCAGTGGCATAGGTTGTCTAGAGAGGTGGTGGGGTCTCCTCTGTGGGAGGTATTCAAAAGGTGTTTGGAGATGGTCATGGATCATTGGCTCTATGTGTCCCTGGCTTGAGCCAATCGTTGGATCAGGTGACCTCCAAAGTGCCTCCCAGACTCAACCATTCTGCAGTTCTGTGAAAAGAACAGCTCTCATCTCTTTCCATAGTCTGCTTTGTTAAGGTTCCTACTCATTGGTTTCAGGCACTTTTATGGGGACATAAAACTGCTGTACTCAATAAATACTCGATTTGATGCCACACATAGGAGAACGAGGTTTAGCTCTTAAGAGGAAGATAACCTGAAACTTTTGTGAATACTTCTGAATGCCTCAGTTTCAGTATGCATCAATAACTGCACAAAATACAGAGTGGCTGGAAACTAAACCTCTCTCTGAAATGGCAGAGACTGCAGTTCTCCTCGCCTAACCACCATCCCCCCAGTGCACCCCCAGCACTCACATGCAATGCGGACGTAGGCTTTGCGGCTCTTGGTGGTGCCTGCGGAGCTCCAGGCAACGCACTGGCACCAGTAATCCTCTGGCCCAAAGAGCTCCTCCACTTGCTGCCGGGAAATCTCGATGCTGACCTCCCGGACAATCAGACCTGTCAGGGTGCAAGGAACACTGGTCAGTGTTGGGCTTCCTGATGGAAAGAAAACAAGTGAGGTTGAAGAAATCTGCTTGCAAAGTTGCTGGGAGACCTTACAGCTCTCTACAAATATCTACTCAGCAACACAGACTGTCATAAGGATGCGAAGGGAAAGAAACTCCCACTTTGTCTGCATAATGAGAGATGTGGGTGAGTGAAAAACTAATTACTGAGATTTTGACTTTCATCACATACAGAATGTATTTTAGACAAATTGGAGGAACAGCATCTCAGCTAATATAAATAGTGCCACATCTCTAGGACAATGTACATCAAGGGACAATCCGAACCAGTTTTATTTTGATATATCATAAAACCACATAATCATTCCATTTATATTACTTCCTTAGCCCTTCTGTACTTAATCTCTTTTTGCTAGACAGACACAGCACTGTGACACTGAGGTGCAAGGAAAATGGATTTTAGGATGGCCAAAAATATCCTGATACTTCATAATGACGAGCACATGTGCTGAAGTATGGTTATTGTAAGCTGCAATATTACTGTCATATATGCTGCAGATATTGGAATATTTTTTAAGGAATTTTATAACGCAGTGAAACACAATTCAGTGCCTGACAGTCTCTCTGGCCCTGCCCTCCATAACCCATCTCAGCACAACCCTCCCCCAAACCCACAGTTGCACCCACGAGGACAGTGACCCACTTGCCATCCTTCCAAGCAGACCAAGATTTGCCCACATTTCCCACACAGTGCTCTCTCTGGGGAAGCCTTTTTGCTTCTTCTAAGTGCAAGGAAATTTTGCAGTGTCTCAGACACCACTGTGAGCATCGTTGGCAAAATGTGTACATCCTCTAATAATCCACTGTGTTTCACACTGACACAATCCTCTCCTTCAAAATGCAGTCCCTGGTCAAAAGGCTCTTAATTACTGGGTGGGGACGGGAGAAAGTGTTTACGCCTTTTTTCAGCATATTTGCTCTTTGCTGATGATGCCCAAGTATCAACAAATTTCTAATGCATGTCTGCCAATAGAGAATACCATTGCCATTTCAAAAATGCACTCTTGCAAACAGTCTTGATATATAAATTCACATACAAGTCTTTTGTGTAGTGAGATTAATTTTTCTTTCCAGAATTGCCAGGAAACTGAACTGAATTATCCTTGGATCAGAGCATGCAGTTTGTCCCCATCACCAAACACCAAAGGGCAGGTCCTTCTGCTGAGCACAGACTTGAGACTGTGGAGGCAGCTACCCTCAGCCTCCTGCCGCAGGGCTTACAAGGGGATATTCATAACGTGAATGTTCCCATTTGTACAGCGTGGCGTGTTCCTCGAGTGCTTGAAACCAGGCCAGCCCTTTGATTTGCCTCCAGCCTCACAGAGGTTCCATTCAGGGAGCCAATGATTAATTACTGTTTGCACACAGTTGTGCACTGTCACTGCAGCTGCATCCCAAAACTTGGGCAACAACCTAGCAGCAGAAAGGAATTAAGGCATGTAACACCACAGACTTCTCTGGTGGGAATGCCTTCTAATGAGATGTATTTTCCTGCTAGAGACTATCACAGCCCAGCTCCCTTGTATTTCATTATCCTTGACATCTTTAGCCATTGAATAATTAGCTTCTTTGGGGGAAACACTTAATAGTTCTTCTCTTTGAAATGAAATACTCAAAATATGGTAACAGCACTCCAAAGAATGGAAATCAAAGCAGTGCATAGGCACTTGATATGCAGTGAATACTGTGCTATAAACTTATTTTGCTTTGATTAGATAATTTAGCTCCATGAGGGGTCTGAAGGATAGCTTTTGTCCTGGTGAGAAGAGCATGAAGAAGGTGGGGAGAAGAATGAACCTTACATCCATAAAAATTGTTGTATTTTCCCAGTGTGACTTCTGCTAGTCTAAAGATTACTTCGGCTCATTCCCACAGTTTTTACTGCACTAGCCCAAGGAGCTTTTGAAGGTTACAACATTTTGTTTTTATAATAAGGCTGATTATGGCAGAGCTTGATGGAGAAGTGAACTTTGTTACCCAAGGGCCAAAACAAGCATGCTCATAATGACCATACTGGTTAATAATGATTATGAAATAGCCTTAACATTCAGGACACAAATGCCGTTTTCTGATTGTCTATGGAAGATACAAAACTATACTACAAATAGCTGCTCCTTATAAATGCACCAGCAGGACTTTTTATATTGGACCTCCTGAGATGCTTTCTAATTCAAAATAACAATCTACTCCTCATAATGTCTTTTGGGACTGCTGTGAAGTACTGACAGGTTTCAGGTTACTCAAAGTAATTTGGTCTTTGAGCAGTATCAACAGTTGTGCCATGACCAAAGAGATGCACACCTTCTTTCCATAGCAAATAAATGCTATGTCTTTCTGCTTACAAGCAAAAACATCATCGTGTCTTGATCTCTAAGGTAAACTATGTTTCCTAGAGTTCAAAATGTATCAAACCAGTTGGTGGTGCCACAAGATCATCTGGGATATAAGGATCTGTGGCCCGACTTCGGAGATTTGATTCCACCACTGCTTCCCAGCACAATACACTGGTGCCTTATTGCCCAAACAGCAACGTTGATTTCAGAGAAAATCCTCACCAGCTGAAACACACCCACCCTCAGACCCTGGGGCAAGCACAAGGAGACATGTTTCCCTTGTTGTACCAACTCACAATCTTATTCCTTCTGCTAGCACACTGCAACATCACCCCAAACAGAAAATCCCTTTCTAGGCCATATTGCAAACACTGCAATTTGCTGAGATATCTCAGATAGCAACTGCCTTGCCACCAGCTGACACACTGCTGTACATCAGATTTCACAGAGGAGCTGGCACACTCTGTCTGCTTTAATTCAGGAGTGTATTGCTTATCCATCTCCTGTGGGCACCAAGTGCAGGAAAACCCTTGCATGATGACTTCAAACAGAGATCTTCATCTTATCTCTGTTGGACCTGCTTCTGCTTCTACACCAAAGAACATTAGCTAGACAAATGGAAAAGGAAAAAAAAAAAAAA